GAATACTTTATATAATACTCCTTTTGTCAACTAATGTATATTCTCACTCGAATTTTTATATGTGGCTGTTTAGACGTAAAGGTTACAATGTTGCATCGAAATCAGGTAATCGATTTGAGCCGAGAAATCACCAGTTCGATTAAAACCCTAAAACTGGCACCATTGATTCCTCCTTTTCAAATCGCCATTGGTACCTCCATTCATGACAAACAACTCAAAGGCTTTGTGTCACGGCTTTAGTTTTATAAATGGTCAAAACACCATTAGGCAGTGTTATCACTCTTGGCTTGCTTTACTTGATTTATCCTTTTCTCGGGTGTCCTGTAACCCGCACGTCAAAACAGGTTTTAAAATGGAACTCATCGCATAAAATGCTGCAAACAGCAAGATATGCACTCAAACAACGCACGCCCTGCAAATCTGATATTATCGCGCGACTGTTTTAGAGGTAATTTGGCCAACCGTGGAACGCGGTGATAACTCCATACGCAAGAGCCGGCAAATCTCCTCCCTAAAATATGCTGTTAGCTACCATTCATGGCTCCCTTGTCAATGTGAGGTAGCCCACTATCCCGCTAGGACTATCGCTCGTTCATCTTGATAATCCGTTTGTTGCCAACAGCATCCCAGTATTCCTGGAACACAAAGATCTTTCTGACTTGCCCGCGCCGGTTTCATATAACATAAGAAAGAGGCTGATATTCAGTGATCATTGGCTGACGGCAGTAAGCCACTGGCTGCATAGTTATGATGTAAAACTAGCTTCACTAAGCTGTAAATTGTTTTCTAAATTTGGAGAAAAGTTGCGCAGCAGTCTAGATCAGTGTACTCGTCGTTGGGGATAATTGAGATTGAGAGGATTATATTTTTAAAAGTTAGAGGCTATGAAACCTGTGAAATTCCATGATTTTTTTGTCAGATCCCTTTCGCTGTGGAATGTTTACGCTGTTTTAGTTGGGCACTTTTATAATTAGTTCTGACCTTAACGGAGTTGAGTGTGTGGTGATGACACTCCATCGTAGTAGTGTTTCAGTTCAAAGCGGTACGATTAGAGCCAAGGCGCAAAATTGACAGCATCGCAGTTCGTCGGGCGTTTTGAGATCAAGAAACTGCCTGTTTAAAATTAAAGTTTTCCACTCGCCCTGGGAAAATGAGCTTTGTAAACTTCTTCGGCACGCACCGTTCCCGTAACACCGGCTAAGATGTTGGGGGCAAATCCTCCCAATTCACAAGAGTTATCTCCCGAACCGTTCAGCAGGTGATGACGATGTTCTGGTTGGCGGACTTCGGAAAGCTTATAGACCTGACCGAAAAGTGTCAACTTCCTGCCGCCTAAGGCGTAGGAGACTTGGCATGGTGCACAAGTGTCTGCGTCTGCACGGCGAATATGTAGAAAATCGTGCTCTGAGACACGTTATTGGGCGTCCGTGCACCATATCTTACTGTTGACTGGTTCTCAGACTGTCCAGTGCCCACGTGATAAACGTCATGAGTAGGCATGACCTTCGCGAAAGTCGTACTAAGTCAAGGTCATACAATTTGAATAAAATCACGACATCGTTGCCGCATGAGTAAAGACGGCTGAGATGCAGAATTTAAGTTGTGGTTGCGAACCTGAACATTATTTTAAGGACTCGGCTATCAAAAAAGTATGAGTAAAGGTGTAGGTAATTATAAAAGACTCCTGCGGTTTATTCGTTGTGTTCTTTTTGTCATGGAGTGTTCTCCCAAACATAGACATTTTAAAGTTTTTCCTGCTGCTCGGATGCGAGGAAGATTACAGTACCATCACGCGTTTCTTCTATCCTCGCAGCGCCTTAGTAGATAGTTTTACAGTTGACTACAACACACAAAAATGTCAATGTTTCATGCCTTCGGGATTTGTGATGCTGAGATATTTGGGCTTATAATGCAATCCTCAAATCAGGCTACTGTTTTGGTAGGTGCATTTTCTTTAGGACCAAGGTCACGGTGGATTAAGTCTTGAAAATCAGCAGAAGCCCGGTTGCCGCACGTAGTGCATCAATCTTACAGCGGCGCATGAATACTGGGAGTGCAAGCTGACCTCATGACAAATTCATACAAGTCGATGGAAGGGCATCAGACGAGCTTGAATTACTCTTTGGGGTTCAATCTTGACATCTCTTGATGTTAGGTAATTTTCTCCGCGATCGTATGCAAAGTGACGTAAAGATGGCAAAGAACGTAACTTAACCTCCTGTTTTGACCTAACAGGCTAATTGTGACGCGAAACTGCAATTTTTTTTCAAAATTTGTGGAACCCATGTTGGGATAACACCATAATGTATCATTAATATCTCAGCGCATCTGGTTTGGACAAGGCTATGAACAGACTATGACAACTGCCTAGTATGATAGACGGGGGCCTATTACGACCCATCTATTAAACGCTTTATCTGGGTCTCGTTGTTGCAGCATTTCTAAATTTTGAATTCAGAGTCCTGCTTAGCGTTGTCCCCTCACACTGCGGTGCTGTCTTTGTATCTTTACGATGTTGTCCCGTGCGTCAAGAATTAATGATATCTCCCTTAACGGTGCAGTGTTTTCTCCCGAGCTTCGGCGATGTTGTCTCCCGCGCCTTTGCGGTGTTGTTGCCTTGCCCCACGCTGTTGTCCCCGCGTCTCGGCAGCGTTGTCTCCGCGTCTCGGCAGTGTTGTCTCCCGCAACTCACGGAGATTGCTTACCCTGCGTCGCGTGCCGCTGCGAAATTAGCGGCAGGGCTGATCTGACAGATGGCGGGGCGGGCGCCGGCTCCGCCGCCGCGCACAACAATAATGGACGAAATGGAGCGGGGCGTCCCGACCTCGACGGCCGCGGCGGCCGCGGCGGCCCGGCCCGGCCCGGCCCGGCCTGGCCGCCATCGCACAGCAGGTAGCCAGGGCTCAGCCGCTGGGCGTGAGGTGGTAGCCCGCTGTTGGCTGTTAGGAGAACATCCGATGGGGGACACTGACGACGGTCGGTGTCCCCGGACACCGCTGTTGGCTGTTAGGAGAACTGATCCGATGGGGGACACTGACGACGGTCGGTGCAGCCGGACGGCCAAGAGAGCTGTCCCACAGGGGTTCAGAGGTCAGGTCTGTGGCCAGGCGTCTGGACGCTGCGTCAGGCGCCGTGCCAGGGATGCATTGGCCGAGGTCTGGCTGGATCGGACTCGACCGTGGTGCACAGATCCCAGCTACAGCCTACAAAGGAAGCAGCTACGATGCACGGTCAGTCTGCGTACCACTTGTCAGATACCATCTTGGAATGGAAAGGAGGAGACATTCTTGTACCGACAGCGCCTGGCAGCATAACGCAACAGTCTTGACCCCCTGCTGCCTCTTACTTTCGCGATACCGGGCACCGCGACGAGTTTGCGTCGCGATCAACACCAGTGTAATCGGTACACAGACACGTGGCATGCAGCAGCTCCTACTGTCGCGACCAGAGCATTGACAGGGAAAGCGGCACAAAGGATCGGGCGGGAATACACCGACGTCGTGGCGGAGGTGTCCAGTGTAGGGCAGACGTCATGGCAGACAGGCTGACGCCTTGCCGCTGCCCGGTATTAAATCCACCACATGCTTGACCAGGTGCACGCACCCGGATGTAAGGTCATCCAACACGCTATCCTCACTCATGTAGCGGAGCGCAAAAGAAAAAATAGCGTCTCGGGGGGGGGGGGGGGGGGGGAGGGGGTGAAGCGCAAGAATCCAACGACGTGTTTTTCCGTGGAGCTCCTTTGTCCGGAGCAGCGGCTCGGCCGGTGGTCCCGTGGGTTTGATGACAAACTTGTGTCCTGGGACGCGGAGCATCAGTTTGAAGTTTGTTGTCCCACACATTGCCTGGAGCTGCTTGTAGAGCCAGAAGAGGTTGATTTTAGGAACTGAAGAGTATTCATCCCCCGAGCGCATTATCCCGTAGGAACCGTGCGTGTCCAGGTTCAGCTGAAAGTCAGCCGGCGGGGGGGGGGGCAGGAACTGTCAGAAGACGATCTGAAAAGGTCGGCGGGTCGTGTCGATCGCTCAGCAGAAGCAGAATCAGAGGCCGTAAGCGAGCGTAAGTCGAAAACGTGGTGCCCTAGGGCTGAGCAAGTCCAGATCAAAATGCGTTTGCTTGAGATGAGCGTAAGTCAGCAGGATTGGTGACTGCACGCGCGCAGCGGTCACTAATGATATCACACGCGCGAGGGTCAGCAACCGTGCACTAAAGGGGTTCAAGAAACAGTCCATGCATTTGCGGGGATAGAGGACGAGGCAATAGCAGAAACATTCGTTTTCCCTTGCTGGCGCTTCCCGCTTATGGCAGGCAAGCGAGTAAGAGCCCGAACGACCAAAAGAACGCTGTTCTACGAACAAGTAAGGAAAACTGATCACAAGCATACCAAAAATGACGGTAATAAGTTCGCTGGGCTCATTTTTTGGACCAATTGGACTTCAATGGACCATTACATTTTGAACTAATAGTGAGGGAGTGGTGCAGCTTACATTAATTATTTTGTGTGTTTTGACATTGTCTCTGAGGTCTACGAAGTGCGGTCGAAGTGACAAGCTGCCATATCAGGGTGACGATTTTATATGTGGTCTTAAAGGCAGTGGTCTTGTCTGAAACAGATGGCGAGCTGATTCCAAGCAGACTCTATCGTGATGTCACCATACGCCATATGTGTCAAGTCCTCACTGTTAGCAAGGCATACAAAGATGCAGCATTTCGCCCACAAGGAAGAGAGGATTGAGTGGAGGTGCTGCACTGAACACAGTCCTGAAACATGAACTATTGTTCCTTACACTCTTCTATCGGATTAGCAAGAACTCAGCTTATGCACCTGACCAGAACTTTTCCCATGGTGGTTCTCCTGAGCTAATTACTGGCCTGTAGATATTACGTGACTGCTTCCATGAGGCCAGGGGGAGCGAAGATGCGGTGTGTCGCACACGCACGTGCAGTGCCGGGTAACGCATCTAGTGGCCGGTATTCGAACTACACCCTTTTCTTTCCAGATGTCGCTGCTATCGACTGTTTCAAGTGCGTGTCGAACAACGGCGATAACCCGAAGTGCGAGGACACGTTCCACAATAACATCACCGGCGATATATACGAGTCTCCCTGCATGGGAGGCAGGAAAAACAGAAACGGACTATTCCCAGCCACGGCGTGCATCAAGCTCAATGGAGTATTTCGTAAGAATTAAATGTCACGGCCATGATATGTGTGCTGTACGCAGTCATTTTTAGCTGTGTGGTTTGGTTTGAACCGTAAAACGTAAAGACCACTAATGCCTTGGAACCGATCTTCTTAGTTTCCTTATAAAACTACCGTGAAATGACTGATAGCCCGCGGGCACAGGATACCTCATTCGCATAATTGTGTAAGGAGCGGGGATCATGCATCGCGCGAGGCGGCGTTTCTGCTGCCATCTTCGTCACGATCTGTCATCTTAACGGAGAGACCTCGCCTGGGTGTCAGGAGAGACGCTTTACTCAGGCACTGATTACCGATGCGCTCTGGTGTGTGTAGCACTCAGCATAATGCAATTCGGTTCTGTGGAGACGGCGCGTACAGCTCTGATGCGCGTCAGTGAGTGACGGCGACGGAGAATAGCTCGTGGTGGGCGCGTGCGCCACTGTGTCACGGTGGTGGACGACCTCCCGCACGTGCAGCAGACACCGCTGTGTCGCTCGGTGTCAGTGACGGGGTTACCCTGTCCACACGGTACGCGCCGGGGTGGACAACACCCGTGCCGCTCCGAGTCAGTGACGGTTAACTCCGCGTCCACCGCGTTGACCAGTCCTGTCACTCCGTGGCAGTGAGCCTGTCCACACAGTGGACGCCTGTGTGGACACCAGTGCGTCACCGGGTGTGAGTGATGTGTGCGTTCATGCCGCTGCAGTGGACACCGGCGAGCGGATCATGGTGCGAGGCTGCGCCCTGGACAGCGGCACGCTCACCACCGACACGGAGATCATCCGCATGTCACATTGCGGCAGCCTCATGTTTCAGGAGAGGTGAGCATGTGCCAGCCCCGGCGGGGCCCACCTCACGGACCACCACTGCGGTCCGATCCTGACGGCGGTGGGCGTCGTAAACGCCGTTTGAGCCGCACTCTTACATAGGCTTAAATTCGCGTTCTGATTTCATGTAAGTTCATATATATTGAGGTGAAGCACGCAGCTTTTGAAATTTATTTGTACAGGCTGTTTGAATAATTACCTGCGTTTCTGCGGTACGTCAGGTAATTTTCAGGCCGTTTTTTTTAGGCGCCGCCTAATATAGACCCACGCGTGACAGTCCCCTCCCCTCCCCCCCCCCCCCACATTAGCAGCACTCAGCTGTACGAAGTGCAAGCACCCGTTGCCGTGGTGACAGCACTCCGCTGTCTGCATGAGCTGGTACATCAGGTGTCCACGGCTGGCGCATCCCACGCATATTTGTTCGAGATACTTGCCATGTCGCCTTCTGGGGGCTGACCCTGCGCTTTGCGTCGCAGATACGTGAAGGGGTGCCTGCAGAGCTGTGACGACATCGACGGCTGCAACGGCGCCGCCGGCGCGGCCGTCTCGACCGGCGTCGGCCTCTGCGCTGCGCTCCTCGCGGCGGTCGTCAGGTAGAGACGCAATGTCGTGCGCTGGGATGGGTGCAGCTCGGCGATCAACATGACGCTGTCGCGGATGCGCTAGCTGCGCCTTCATTCATGCTTTGAAATTGTTTTCATCGTTGTCGTCTGCATAAATAACTGGATGATCAGGGTGTCACTATCAGTACGTAATTGGCACATGGCTTTGTGCGCCCCTGTGACAGCGTCGAGTTCGTTGCTTCGTTTCTGCGTGCTCGAGTTTGCGTTTCAATTGGTCACAGATCATTATATGCCGGCGGGACTTCACTATAGAGCTTTGATTTCGTTTCGTCGTTTGTGTGTGGTAGTGTTGTCATGTCACTGGATCACATAGGCGATAATGTTCCGGAGGAGATGCAATGTGAAGCATCGCGTTGAACTGATGTTGGCTACGTACAGCATGCGAAATGTGCATGCAATGGAACGCTGCTGGCTCGAATGATAAATTTCGGTAACTGGCTGTTTTTGAACAGCTGTTTGACGCCGTCCGACATATCTAAAGACATTTATGAAAAGATATACCCGGTTTGCGTTGATGTTAAGATAGGCAATCAGTTGTCGAAGGACTGCGTGTCCCCTCACATCACATTTTCCGTAGCTGTTACCCATGCTATGTTGTGTCAATGTTGCGTTGCGACATTTTCGTGTGTGTGTTTCATCCCCAAGTGGGATGACGCTTCCAGTGTTGGTTACGTCCGGCGCTGTATTTGGGCATCACTTAATGCTTCTCATAATGCGTGTAGTTATTGTTGTGACCCGTGCTTTGTTGCGAAGACAAGTCGTTGCCGCTGTTTGACCTTTGCTTACCTTTTTTGTTAGCTTCCTTTAAGTGTCACACAACAGTTAACGGGACGCCTCAGCACCATGTCATAAGCAGCTGCGTTCGGCTCATCTCGTTTAACCGCATATGTGCATGTTTAATTGGCTGATAGGTTTTTGCCGAAAGGTGCGGTGATTGATTTATTCACTAACAACGTCACACGTAAATTTACTAGACATGGGACACTACTATGGTGAAGGGTTCGTGCATTTGTAGGCATGGTAAGTACTCAATGGAATTTGGATGACCCCTTTAGAATGACTACATACGTTAAAGTAGATTGGTACTGTGCATCTGGAATGCACTGGCGGTCATGGACCTTGCTAACATCGTCATTTTTTGTAAATGTCATACGGGCACCAGATACCAGCCAGTGTTTACAGTTCATATGCAACTTTTTTCTTCTTCAGAACACACGCGATAAAGCGAAACACATTGTTCACACTTCGATTTGCCAACTTACAAGAAATCACAAGAAATTAGATACAAGAGATCAAGCCTTGCACATATGGAGAACACATGATCCTCCAGGGTGAAGTGTTTGCATTTAGAAGGGGCTTTGAATTGTGTATGTTGTTTATTCAATTGTTCCAATGGGGTGGTCTTTGCTGTTTTGTTTTTTGCGGCAATAACGTAGCAGTCAAGTGGTTTCATCCCGCTGAATCACATAGTTCTGGCGCGCAAAGGTCACGTATGGGAGGCTGGGGTTTTGTGTTGTGGGTCTAGAACGTGTTCGTGAAAACGTAGCCGAATAGGTATTTTTATTTGCCAACATACGATGCACTTTTACTCGTGCTCTTACATATCAAAAACGTTACAAAATACTCCCTATACCAGACGTCAGAGTTTGACTTTTCTGCACACCAGATATTTACCTTATCGTTTATTTCTGCACACTTGAACTATGATATTTGGCGTGCTGAGGCTCCGTGGTTATAAAGTTAAGTTGATTAGAATATCATCCACGACGCGAAATAGGTGTGTCAATATACACAAACGCAATGCGCGTCCTCTGCTTAATAGAAGCACTTCATCCTGGACAATTATTTAGCTTTCATCTATGCAAAGCTTGTTTTATTTCCTGTTTTCCCACAATCGGTCCGGTTAAAGTGTGGACAAGGTGTGCGGTTTTATCGCGTGTATTCTGAGAACAAAAAGTTGTATACGCGCTGCCAATAGGCTGATGTGGGATTCCAGGGCAAGGGGAGGACAACTCCGCTTAGAGGCACGAAAAGCTCTTCTAATGCCATTCACGGCAGCACAGTTTCATTCTCCATAACGTCCATAACGTAGGAGAAAGCTCGAATCGAATCAGACACTCGTTTCATCACATTTACCGACGTTTTTTCTAGCAAGATCGACTCTTATTCATTCCTGTGAAGAGAATATAAATCTACTTACTTTGTAAAGTAGGAACTTGTTTTTGAGTTGTTGCGAAAATACGTACCACGCTGCGCGCTGAAAACCAACCGTATTATCATACGGTTATCATAAACCGTATCCACCCCGTCTTCTAAGGCTGCCATGGTGGTGTAGGAGTGTGGAGAGTGGAACACGGTGCCTTCACACAGTCCCGGCCGGTCTGTGGACAGTCAGTTGCGCTCGGCGTCAACGCGTTGTAAATGGCTAAATGGCATGTGTTGTATGGTTCGATGATAACGGGCGTGAATGGTGGAGTCCTTCCGATTGTGAAGTGCTCAGTGTGTGCGTTTGTGTTTTGGTCGTATCGTTGCGAAGCACTGCTTAATAACACAGCGGTATCTGAAAATGGTCAATGACAGGCTTGTGGTCATAGTTTAGGCACTCCCACGCGATGCTGAAGTATTTCGCGAAAATTGGACTGACCTGTGATGCTTTGTACACTAACCGAAGCAATACGCACTGGTGGAAGATAGTGAATGGCTGCAGTTTTATCATGGTTGATATATTGCACATGTCGACTCTATTCCCCCCGTTGCTCTGAATAGAGTGCTGAGCGTCAACCTCTGTTAATGGTGACGAAGCGCGACATGGGCATTCTCCACGGAAGACTTTGTTGATGCAGATGCCCACGTGGTCGGGGCTGAGTCCGTACAAGTGCAGCCGGGCTCGAGCTCTTCTGTAACTGCGAGCTGTAGAGATCGATAGTTAAATCAATACGAAAATGACACGAAACCGCGTGCGCCGTGCGCAAGGATTCCGCGTTTGGTGGCATTTGTGTGGCATTCAAGCAAATAGGTAGATGTTAGATGAGTGTGCATGTTAAAACGCTGCGTGTATTGCCTTAGTGGCGAATAATTCAGCGTGCTCAGATGATGTTGTTTAATATGTTTAGAAACCTATTATGTCGGACCTGTCTCTGCGCGGAGTGGAACAGCCCTACACCGATTCCTCTGATTAAACCTTTTTAAGTCTGGCTGCAGATCCCAGGCTCATGTCATATCAGGTAACTGGACCCCATGAATTCATTCTATAAGTTCTGCATGGCGAAATATGGGGAATCGGCGTCCAGTAACGCGTCCCCGGCCTCTTCTCAACACCGCATCCCCAAGTACAGTGGTTCTGGCCGTGTCCAGTGGTTTTATCATGTACGTTGTTGGTACTCGTGATGCATGTTGTTTAAATATCCGGAAGTCAGGCTATCTCGCCAAATTTAAAGATCACGTTCAATCAGCCCACACACCCGTTTATGTCATGAGCCAATGGACTGAGATGAGTCAATAGTGCGATATCTAAGTCAAGGACAATGTCAAATGGGGTCAAGACCGGTCAAAATATTGTTACCACACCTTTCACGGTGTTTAACCATCTTGGGCGTGACATGGAAATCGTATCGTTACATGAAGATCGTAAGCCAAAGTCAAGGTGACTCAGCTATGACGAAGGTCATTTTGTGCTGTTCCGACAGAGCAGGCCAATCGCACAAGGTGCTGCAAAATAGGAGCCACTAAATTTTGTCAGGGGTCACCGATCCTATTTTGACTTGTACTGCAGCACATCGGATGCAGAATCAGCAAGGGGGTCGTGACGTCACCCGAGTCAGTAAACGTGGCGAGACCGGCAATGGATCTGTTCGATCTCCACCAACAGATGGAGCAGGTCTCGTGCAAAATAACTGTTTGCACATGTCAGTGAAATGTTTCTTGCCATTTATTAATCAAAACCGTATCTCCCTCCATTGTCTGTCTACCATAAGGCGCTTGTAAAACATGAGTTGTTCATATGTTGACGATGTGAATACATATTTTATGACAAGTTTCTTGCATTACCAGTATACCAAAACACAGTACTGTTGCACTCTTCTAGCATATAATTTTTTGCGATTTCGTTTAACGTGCTTTAAATGACGAATGGACGAGATGAAGTTGTGATTGGTAAACCTTCGGCGTAAGAGAAGAAAATTATCAGCCCGTGTTTTGCAGCATGCAACTGCTTAAATATAGAAGGGTAGTGAATATCCATTTGTTTGAAGATGCAAATAGAGCGAGGAAGGTGGGGCTATAGATCCGGACAAACACACAGCGAACACTTAACACTTATTAACATATGTTTTGCAGCGTGTAACTGCTTAAATATGGGAGGGTAGTGAGCATCCATTTGTTTGAAGATACAAATAGAGCGAGGAAAGCGGGACTATAGATCCGGACAGACACAGGCGTAGTAATACTCATGACAAAGTATGGAAAAAGTAGATCACATGATATGGACACACAGAATAGCAACGATTAAAGCGCAGACTACAAAATATGGATACGAAGAATATCAAGATGCAGAATGTAGCCTGAAAATATTAAGAACACAAAATATCAGCACATAAGATATTAATGCGTAAAACACAACCCCGCAGCTATTTGGAGCATGGACGTCAATTTCCCTGAACAAAAAAAAGCATGGATCGCTCACCAAAACGCTGTGAATATATATATATATATATATATATATATAATTGTATGGCTTCGGATGCTGGATGGATGGGAGAGCCTGCACTATCAAAACATTCAGACAATTGATGAACTTCAAGGAAATGACCAGAAAGCGACCCGAATTTTCTTGCAGCCCTCAACGACGTCCGGAATTTCCCATTATGTCACTGATATATATATATATATATATATATATATATATATATATATATATATATATATATATATATATATATATATATATATGTGTGTGTGTGTGTGTGTGTGTGTGTGTGTGTGTGTGTGTGTGTGTGTGTGTGTGTGTGTGTGTGTGTGTGTGTGTGTGTGTGGTGTGTGTGTGTGTGTGTGTGTGTGTGTGTGTGTGTGTGTGTGTGTGTGTGTGTGTGTGTGTGTGTGTGTGTGTGTGTGTGTGTGTGTGTGTGTGTGTGTGTGTATAACGAGCAGAATACGTCCCTGCACACTGCAACCGAGACGCTGCTCTGAGGCATCACACTGCGGATGCACCTCACGTCGCTGTCCTCACGTCCTCACGTAATCACGACGCTGGTCATCAGCGGTTTGCCGCACTCAGCGGCGATGAAAACATAATTTGCAGATATGTTAAGCTGCAAATGTTTTCGCAATCCATTACAGGCATGCCACTTAATCATAGAACATATTGACCCTACAACTTATGGGGGTCTGTTCTGTTGTGCATGGGCTGTTATGGCCCCACCAGCGCATTAGGTTGTGACACGGGTGTTGATTTGTATTTTTTGTTAGCTTGCCCCTCCCCAATGTCATGTCGCTACCCCACAACACCCCAATGTTGCTTTCACCGACAATATGTTTCGCTGCAATATTCCAAAAGCGTAGAACAAGGTTGACTTTCATGCAAAAACCCCCTTAATTGGATATTGTTCGCTGGCCATGACTGCAGACAGAGACGCAGCCAGAATTTGCGGCAGTAGGGCCTACCATGTTTTGTGACGTTGGTGGGGAGAGGGAATATATATATATTTGGTTTATCGATCTCTTGCAAAAAGATCAGTTAACATAACGTCAGCTCTGCCTCATGCGAGTAGCGTGTGGCATGGACTCGTGTGGTTGGTCCTACAAGATTGTCGTGGCGTCGAAGCACCCAGCACCCTTAGTGGTCTTACTTCGGTATCGATGATTGACATGTAGACCACAAAAAAGGGTTTGTGTGTTGTTGCCTTCGATCAGTCGCGCGCACAAACTTTCAGAAGTGCACACTTGGCTCAGGCACGGAGACGAAGTTGGCGTCAGTTTTGGCATCGGCTTCGAAAAGACGCCGTTTTTCTTCAGTGGCTTCGACTTTGGCTTCTACTTTGAGCCGCTTTTCACGGCTGGCTTCGGCTTTGGCTTTTTCTTCGTGTTGATTAAAACAGTTGACTTCGGCTTCGTTTTTGTGTCATTTTAAGAACTATGCCTTCAGCTCGATTAAGAGTCGAGCATGATGTCTGAATCACTCCGGTCTCAGCCTCATCTTGAACCGCTGGCTTCGGCTTTTCACAATAATTCTCTCCCTGCAGCTGCACCTTTGCTTCGCAAAAACAGTGTTGCCCATCCTATCATCCAATATACCCAACAATATCTTATGATGCAATGATTATACGTAGGGGCGTAGTTCCGCAAAATTGTTCTGGGAGGTACAAGGCTGAGCAGTGACAAAGGACGCAACTACCCCAAAATACGTCAGAAAGTAGCGAGTTTCTCTCCGGTTCTGGCCCACTTTTTCAAAAGTTAAGTAGTCGTTTTTCTTCCCCACACCAGCTGAATAGGAATTACAACCCTGCGTTGGTCAAAACAAAAAGAAAGCAATTCACTAGGAGAAAAACAGTTGCCTCTTTAAAGTAAAAAAGCGGCGAATATTTCTCAAGACCAAGAAGGCTTTGATGAGGGCCGGAGATTCAACCGTTCCGAAAAGAAACTGACGCACAAAACGATGGCAACAGTCTGAAAAATAATGCATGCGAAATGCTTATGCCTTGTCTTGATCACTTTGGTGCATACAGATTGAATTTTGTGATTCCGTGTAGCTTAAATTGACGGCAAAAATAATTTCGAATTCGCGAAACAACATTGTATATTTTTTTCGGCTTTGGTTTTGGATTATTGATGTGAAATTGATGGATTCAGCTTCGGCTTCACCTTTTCTAAATTGAAAGACCCTAGCCTCGGATTTGGCTTTGAGGAGAAAAAAGTTCAACTATTTTATTTTTCTTATTCAAATATAACTTTATTTTTATAAATATACGAAGCCCCTGGCGTCGGCTTTGGTTTTTTAGATGCCAACTTGAGTTTCATCGGCTTTAGCTTCGATATAGCCTTCATGTCGTCTCGGCTTCGAGCTTGGGCACAAAGCCAGAGGTCTGACTTCGCCCACGCCAGACGTAGCCATTAACTTGTGGAAATGAAGCTATGAGACACTCCCGTCAAGTGCATCAGATAGCTTAAGTTGCATTGAGCACATGCCCATGCTAGCTACTGCCTTTAGGTGAAATTTTTAACCCCACAGGGCACGCGATACTGCGCTAACGGGGCAGAATCGCTATCAC